TTCTGTGCATCACCGCTAGGGGGATAGTGAGCATTAAAGTTCATTACCACGATTGCTAACAAACAATCAGCCAAAATGCTATTTCTTTTGCTGGGTAAAGGTTTTGATTTGAATGAAGAATTTTTTTTGCTCAATTGGAATTTCAAACAAAGAAAGAATTATATAGACTGGGAGAACACTGGACTCTACGAGGTGTAGTCCGGGCTGCGGGGGAGGAGTTTGTTAATCTGTGTTTTATGTTGGAACATTGACAGATACCTGGCACAAAGTAGTGCTTTCGAAAAACACTGATTAAACATGCTCAAGAGTTCTGCAACTTGTTTAAATTAGTTGTTAATGTTCCTCGCGTCTTCTCTCTCTCGCTGTCTCCGTTCTCTCTGCTACTCGCGTCTCGTCTCTCTGCTCCTCTCTGTCTCTCTCTGGCTCCTCTCTCCTCGCGTCTCTCTCTCTCGCGTTCTACGTCTCTCTCTGCTACTCGCGTCTCGTCTCTATGCTCCTCTCTGTCTCTCTCTGCTCCTCTATCCTCGCTGTCTCTCTCTCCTCGCGTCTCCGGTTCTCTTCTCTTCGTCTCCGTTCTCTCTGCTCCTCTCTGTCTTCTCTGCTCCTTCTCTCCTCGCGCTCTCCTCCTCGCGTCTCTCGCACCGGCGCTTCTTTCCTAAAGATGTTGTTGTGTTTGATGCGGAGGCAGAGTCAGCAGCTAGATTTGTTGTGAGATTATTAAATGAAGCTGGTTATCTTATCTTTACAGCTATATAAAGTTGTGGATGTCATTTGCATTGGTGATTAAATGATATTTTTATGTGTATTATGATTGTAAATCTGACTTTAAAGTCAGTGGCCTCCCCCAATCACAACCTCACGCACGTCCCTGCTGTTTCTATATTATTGTGTGTTTAGGAATTATATAACATCAGGAATAGACACTTGGGTATGGAAAATATTGAAAATGGACAAAAGCCTCTTTTACATTCTAAGAAAGTAAGAGTGTGTCTGCAATAGGATCGACATGTGATATTGGATTTATTGAAAACTGGGTACCTGACTTTCTTTATATATACTCTGAAATTCCCCACCGGTGATCTTTATAAATACAACAATAATAATAATAATAATAATGGCAGGGTGTTTTACATAGCCCACTCTCTAAAAACGGCGTCACTCAAACACAAAAGGTCATAAATACTTCTGTAGCCACAGCTGCCCTGGGGCCCACTGAGATAAAGGTGGAAAGAAAGTGATATTCTGTTGTAAGACAGAACCTATCATATAATCAAAGAATTTGAAAGATCAGGTTAAAAAGAAGGTTCTGTGATTGTCACTAGGACAGGGACAAGGTTAATGAGAAGGTCAAACCACAGAGGCGTCAAAATCTCAGGAGTATTCTTTAACTTTTTATTCTAACATTCTGTTAGGTTCAGAGCCAACCCAAAAACTAAAAATGGTAACAGATGAGATGAAATGTTTACTATTGATCTTCCTATTATATGGTTATGTAACACTTAGGACTCCCAGAGAATTAGGTTTTAAGGTAGAGACTCAGGTCTGTAGACTTTGCTCCTCAAACTTTGACTTTCCTTCACAAGCCACCTGGGAGACACACCAAACATGTGGAAGAAGGTGCTCTGGTCAGATTGAAACCAAAATCAAACTTTTTGGCCACAATGCAAAACGATATGTTTGGCGTAAAAGCAACACAGCTCATCACCCTGAACACACCATCCCCACCTCAGCTGTAGTTATCTGCAGTTCATCCAGAGTGATCATGGGCCTCTTGGCTGCATCTCTGATCAGTCTTCTCCTTGTTTTAGATGGAAGTTTGCATTCTATTTATCATCATCAGTCATTTAGGACAACATTGGATCATTCAAAGATCCTCACTGAACTTCTGGCGTGAGTTTGCTGCACTGAAAGTAAAGGGGCCGAATAATATTGCACGTCCCACTTTTCAGTTTTTTATTTGTTAAAAAAGTTTAAATTGTCCAACAAATTTAATTCCACTTCACGATTGTGTCCCACTTGTTGTTGATTCATGACAAAAAATTAAAATTGTATATTTTTATGTTTGAAGCCTGAAATATTTATTTATTTATTTATTTGTTTCAATTGTGGACAAAAACAATACTACACATATTACAATTACATTTCAAATAATTGTCGTCTTGTCTCACAAATGAAAAGGAGCAGAAAGAAGAAAAAAAATCTTATGTTGCCTGCCCCTTTCTTCATACATGTACAAATTAAATTTTAAAAAAATTAAAAAAATGTTGATGTGTTTTTGTTTTCATAATTCTTTGTTTTTTATTGTTTTTTTCTAATCATTCATTTCGTACGATTTCACTGTTGTTGCTTTGATTTTTTTCTTAAACATGTGGATGTTTGCGGATTTTTTTATTTCATAGTCAAGTTGATTCCATAGTTTTACTCCGACCACTGATATTCCCATGTGTTTCTGGGTGGTTCTGGCAAAAGGGACAGAGAAGTGTAACTTCCTTCTACTTTCCTGGTTGATATTGAGAGAGAAGAGCTGTTGTACAGCTGCTGGCAGCAGAGTCTCTGGCTTTGTACATCACAATGAGTGACTGTAGTTTGATCAGATCCTCTAGTTTTAACAGTTTTGATTGTATGAATAGGTTGTTTGTGTGTTCTCTTGAGTCCACTTTATGAATGATTCTCACTGCTTTTTTCTGTAAGAGGATTAGAGGATGTATGGTGTGTTTGTATGTATTTCCCCAGACTTCTACACAGTAGGTGAAATGGGGCAGTATCAGGGTACTGTACAGGAGCCTTAGGGCTTTATGATCAAGTGAATGTTTCACTTTGTGCAGTACCGAGATATGTTTTGATATTTTTCTTTTTACCTGGTTTACATGGGATTTCCAATTTAATTTCTCATCCATTGTCACTCCCAAAAATGTTATTTCTTGTACTCTTTCAATTTTTGTGCTATTTATTGACACCTGGACGTCTGTGTTACTGTTATTGTTTGAAAACACCATGAATTTCGTTTTGCTTATATTTAATGATAATTTATTCTCATCGAACCATGTTTTTATTTTGATCATTTCCTCTTCCGTCGTCCTTGTTAATTTTTTTATATTATCTCCTGATAGAAATTTTTTTGTGTCATCTGCAAATAAGACTGATTTAAAGACCTTATGACGGGTTTGATTTATTTAGAAATACAGTTTTAATACCATTTTATATTAGAGGAGAACAAAATCAGTTGTTGTTTTTTTTGTCTGATCCCCCCAAATCGAAATAACCCCATAGCAACGCCCTTAGAAACGAAAAAACTTCACAGCCCTTGGTGACGTCAGAACGGGTACGTTTCAACGCTGTAAGTTGTTTACAATTTGGTATTCGTTCTTTTTTTGTGGATATTCAAGATGACAAGGCCGTGTACAGCGAGTATGAGATAACTACTAGAATGTAAGATTTTGTTGTCACTGAGATAGTCCAGTGGTTGTGTCGATGGCCTGCCAATCCAGATACTTGGGTTCAGTTCCCACCTCGGACACTTTTTCACACTCAAAACGGCAATTTATTTGTAGTGAGCAATTGTCACCTGTAGAGGGCAGTATTGTGTTGGGCATCAGTGGAGAGAAGAGAGAAAAGGCAGTCCTGTGGCATAGATCCATGGTTTTCAATGCATGGGCGTAACCCGCTATGACGTCACACACAGGTTAGAGCATAGACAACTTAAATTCATGAAAAACACGTTCTTTTTTATAAAATATAGGATTTTTTTTGCCGGAATCTCTTTCAAATTGACATTGTCATGCAATTTTGATATCCACTATTTTTTTAAAAAAAACCCGTCATAAGGTCTTTAAGTTTTGATGAGACAGAACATAAGTCATTGATATATAAAATAAAGAGTTTTGGCCCGAGAATGGAACCTTGGGGAATTCCACACTGAATATTTAGTTTGTTAGAAATGTTGCCAGCAAACTGTACAAACTGTTGTCTATTTTCTAAATAGCTCTCAACCCAATTTACCACCCCTCCTCTTATGCCATACCACTGTAGTTTTTTTATTAATATACTGTGATTAATTGTGTCGAATGCCTTTTTTAAGTCAACAAATACTGCCAATGTGTTTTGTTTATTTTCTAGTGCTGCCTGCCTTTCAACTATTTGCCACAAATATGGCAAAATGTTGAAAGGTTCAAGGGGGCCGAATACTTTTGCAAGGTACTGTACATACTGTACATACACACACACACACAAGCACATTTACATACACACACGTACATACACATACACACACACAAGCCCACTTACATACCCACACACATACATACATGCATACACTCTCACACAAACACAGGCACACACACTTACATACACACACACACACACACACATACACATATACTGTACATATACACACACGCACACTTACATACACACACACAAATACTGGCACACACACACGCACACTTACATGCACACACACATATAAACCTATACACACATATACTGTATACACACACGCACACACACACACACACACACACATACACATATACACACGTACACGTACACACACATATACACACATATATACACACACACACACTCATACACATATACACACGTCCACGTACACACACACATATACACATACTGTATACACACACACACAGACACACACACACACGCACACACACAGACACACACAGACACACACACACACACACACACTAACAAGTGCAGCTGGAGCGATGACGTGAGCCTCACTAACTCATGAGGAGCCAGAGCAGTAAAATCACATTAAAGATACTTTGTTAGAGTTTACAGCTGGAATCCCCCAAGAAGTGGTTTTTGGACTTGTAAAGTACAAAATGACCTCCGTTATTATCACTTTCATTCATCGTGGCTGAATTTGATCTGGTTTAATGATGAAATCTCAGGCATCTGGCTCTTTCTGTGTCTAATTATTCAAAAGAAAAAGCTTTTTTGACACAGCACAAGCACAAACTGCAGAAGGCTGGTACCTCTCATGCCTCCCCAGCTGTGGGAGTCCGCCTCGTCCTCCACCATGTCAGCCGCCTGTGCACACACACACACACACACACACACACACATTAACATTACACACACAGTATCAGACCATTGCATGCAACAAGTCCATTAGCTCTTTATGAAAGTATCACAGCAAGAAAAGTTGGGAAATGAAAACTTCTGATTCTTTTGCTTTGTTGTTTGTGGCTCTCGCTGACATGGCCTTGGTCTTTCAGCGGGGGCTTCAGGCAATGTTGGATTAAGTGTCTTGCCCAGGGACACAACGACAGCAGACATCAGTGGGAGCAGGTGATATGGGTTGTGGTGGGCTTGAACCCCCGACCATTAGGTCCAAAGATCAGTGCTCTCACTACTACTACTACTACTACTACTACTATTATTATTATTATTATTGAAATTGCAATCTACTCTCTCTAAAACGCCTTCAATCATCTATAAAAGTTTGAGGGCCGTTTGAAGCAGAGCCGGCAATGGATAAAGTGGAAGAATATGGATGGACAGGGTTTTGTTTGATCGCGCTTAGACCCAGCATCATCACAGACCTGACTTCTTTAAACTGTTTCTCTGCTGATCAGGTGTAACGCCAAGATACACTGCCTTGAAGAGATGCACAGCCTCAGCTGTTTATGATGTAATGCAAACCTGCGCATGCGCGTCTCACGGCAACCGAAGCATACCAAGATGGCGGACCGTGAATTGCTTTAAAAGTTGAAATACGAACGAATTAAGACACGAATGTCACTTTTAATGCAATTTGAGGCGAGATGTTGATGGTTCCGTTTTGTCACATGTGGGTTTTAGGAGTCAAAGTTTTGTGCAAAGTTTAGTTTAAGCAGTCAACTGCGCCTGTGAAACCACAAAGCTAATGTTTTCATAGCAGTCCGCGGCTGCTGACGTAGGCTGATGACGCGTCCTGTGGCAACTCTACACTCTTATTTAGGCCCCGACTCCACCGGGCGCGTAAAACGGACGACGGATCCGTCCAAACATGTCCGTTTCATCTCCGTCTCCGTTATCTCCATGAGGGTGAATGGAAGTGGCTCCACTGCCTCCGCATGCAGTTGCGCGCTGCTAAGGCCTGGACTCCACCGGGCGCGTCTCCGTTGACGCGCATTGGCTGCTGTCCGTCAGACGTCCGTAAAACAAACTAGTGGTCAAACCGGCTGCAGCAGCGCGCAACTCTGGCTGTGCGTTTATCAGCCTGCTTTGTTTTTGTAGGAGACACGTTTGGGCATTGTGTGAATGAATGAATGTTTGGCTGATGGAGGAGTCATGTGTATTGTCGGCGTGCATGTGTGCGTGAGCGTGTGCGTGAGAGCGCCTGTGTGTGTGTGTGCGTGGGAGGCGTGTGCGTGCATGTGTGTTTGGGTCTGTGACCGCAGCGTTTATTATGATCCAGCCTCTTCGTTTGTTTTCTATACTTATTTAGCGCGTCATACACTTTTATCAGACCCAACTCGCCTCTCCGCGGCTTTAGGCAACAGGCAGCCCCTATAGTTATAAATAGAAGAAGCGGTGAGTGATGTGTGTGAGCTGTGGCTATGATCAATGCAAAGCACAGCATATTGAAGCATTGAGGACGTCGCGGATGAGGCAAAACTTTATTGAAAGCAATTGGAAAAATGGGAGAGAGAAAGGAGAAAAGAACTCCAACATATCCAGTGTTGTGAGATCTGTCTCTCATAAGTGCAGCTCTGTGTGTGTGTGTGTGTGTGTGTGTGTGTGTGTGTGTGTGTGTGTGTGTGTGGGAGCGCGCGGCGGTGGGGAGAGAGCGCCTCGCAGGTAGACGGGACAGAGCGAGAGAAAAAAGAGCGAGGTGTATGTAAAGATTAGCGTATTAACATTACGCAAAAAATAAATGGTAGATTTACAATCAGGAAACAATTATTTATTTTAATACATGAAGAAAATTACACACGTTTGTTAATAATCATTGTCATTAACAAATATTTCTAACCAAGGACTACAGCTTATATCATTACATGTTTAATAATGTGGTAAATATATTATTCCATTGTGTTTTCAATGGAAAACGGACCCGACACGCGTCGACGGACGGAACAAATAGGATTGTTTCTATTTCGTCCGTCCGCGTTCGTTGCACCCTCCGTTGACGGAATACGTCCGACGTGCGTTGGACGGACGCATGCGGAGGCAGTGGAGCCACTTCCATTCACCCTCATGGAGATAACGGAGACGGAGATGAAACGGACATGTTTGGACGGATCCGTCGTCCGTTTTACGCGCCCGGTGGAGTCGGGGCCTTACACTGGTCTGTCGGGTTGATAATGGAAATAATAAATTTCATTCAATACATGTATCGTACTGTATTTAATATGATTAACAATAGTGTGTTGAAACAAAATATTTAATTAGATTTATTTTTTTCCCCATTTTCCATTATCAACCCGACAGACCAGTGTAAGAGTGTAGAGTGGCCACAGGACGAGTCATCAGCCTACGTCAGCAGCCGCGGACTGCTATGAAAACATTAGCTTTGTGGTTTCACAGGCGCAGTTGACTTCTTAAACTAAACTTTGCACAAAACTTTGACTCTTAAAACCCATATGTGACAAAACGGGACCATCAACATCTCGCCTCAAATTGCATTAAAAGTGACATTCGTGTCTTAATTCGTTCGTATTTCAACTTTTAAAGCAATTCATGGTCCGCCATCTTGGTATGCTTCGGTTGCCGTGAGACGCGCATGCGCAGGTTTGCATTACATCATAAACAGCTGAGGCAGTGCATCTCTTCAAGACAGTGTATCTCGGCGTTACACCGGCCCCTGCCTTCGCTACGCTCAAGTCTAGGCTTCAAACAGTTCTTTTGACTCTGCAAAAAAATGATAATTATGAGGAAAAAACTGCTTGAATGGAGTTGTTTTTATCTTATTTTGAGAACATTCTGACTGTAAGACAAAGCCTGTGAGTCAAGAACTGCTCTCATTCCAAGGGAGATCATTTATCATGGGTCATCGCCCCTTAAAGTTAGAAAGATACTTTATTGATCCCTGTAGGACCGGCATATCCAAACTCAGGCCTGCGGGCCAATAGCGGGCCTCTGTGCCATTGTTCCGTGACAAACCTCCGCTGGGCTTCACTCTCCTGACTCACCTTGTAGATCCCGTTTCGTCCATATCCGGGTAAAGACGCTGACTTGTTGTACGGGAAATCTAAAGAAACAGTAGCATCGATGAGGACTTTTTACACATTTTGAAATCCATCTGTTGTGTGTGAGTGGACTGACTGGGCTGGGAGGTGTCCGTGGGCAGACTACACGTGGACTTGCTGGGGTCCAGGTCCTCCATGTGTCCGTCCATCTCGCTCTTCAGGATGCTCCAGCTGGTCCTCTGCTCGCAGCCAATGGAACAAGTGATGGATGATGAGGGAGTGAGTACGTTAGTTTGAGCGGATGTTTGAGAGAAAGGACAATGAGTTTGCAGAGATAGTGTGTGTGGGTGAGTGGACTATAGGACCCACCTTGCCATCCTCCCCATCCTGCCAGGAGGTTCTAGAGGCTGGAAGACAGGCACATGTTACACGGGTCCAAGTGGGAGAGAGGATACGGAGCCGTGAGGTTAGCTACACAGGCAAAAACTGACTGCACCTAAGAGTCAGCTCCAGACAGCACCAGACAGCTCCAGACAGGACCCGACAGCTCCAGACATTACCAGACAGCACCAAACAGCACCAGACAGCACCATACAGTACCAGACAGCACCAGACAGCACCAGACAGCACCAGACAGCACCAGACAGCACCAGACAGCACCAGACAGCACCAGACAGCACCAGACAGCACCAGACAGCACCAGACAGCACCAGACAGCACCCACCCCACTGATACTGGACCCATGGAGCCCTTAAAACCCTTAAATCAGGTCATAAATCTATGGATTACATTTAAAAGACAATACAGTGTCTAAAGCAGACTTAGAGATTCTTATCCATACATTTGCTGCTCACTGGTCTCTCCAAACAAGCTGTAAACTAACTACAGTAGAATCAAAATGCTGAAGTTTGAGTCCTGACTAGAACTAGGAAGAAGGATCCAGTCCTCAGGTCTCTGTCTTCCTGTGGCTCAGAGAATAGACTTTAAATCAGCTCTGTTTGTTACAAGTCTCTTTCCATGGCCTCAAAGTACATCTGTGACATGTTAGTGCCTCCTGCTGGGACTCTGAGGAGCACAGGGACTGCCCTCCTGCTGGGACTCTGAGGAGCACAGGGACTGGCCTCCTGCTGGGACTCTGAGGAGCACAGGGACTGGCCTCCTGCTGAGACTCTGAGGAGCACAGGGACTGGCCTCCTGCTGGTCCAAGAGTCAGGACTAAATATGGGGAGGCAGCATTTCAGATTTATGCAAAAAAAAATCTACCATAGTCTTCCTGAAAATGTGAGACAGTCTTCTTCTCTGACAAAGCTTAAATCCAGATTGAAAACAGTTAAGTTTCAAGGATTATAAATGATTTTCTTTTCTTATTTTGTTCACTTTGAGTTGCCTTGTGTATGAACTGTGCTATCCCAATACATTTGTCCTACCTATTAATTCTTTAAAATGCAAGTTTGCCAGACACATAGGAAATGGACCCAATGGATTTAAAAAACGGGTAGCAGCTCCTAAAACCAGTTTGGCCCCGATCTAAACCACACTGATGCTGTCTGCAGCTGACAGATCTGCACCAAGAGCCAGACCTCTACCTCCGGCACGTGTGGGTTTGAGATGCAACATAGATAAACACATGGGAGTGAGGAAGCTACGGTGGACCAGAGGGACTAAACACAGACCAGGGCGGGACTTCACACAGATTCAAACAGTGACCACAGACAAGAGAGTAGCTGCACACGTCACCACATGCAGGAGCTACAGACACGGACCACGGAACCTTCTCACTGTGCCCTGTTTAAATCTCGAGGCTCATGTATGGACCCTGAGGACGTGGCCGCGGATCGAACCACGAGAGCGGGGTGTGGGGGTGGTGGTGCAGAGTGGGCGGGACTTTCTCTGATTGACAGGCGACATGCGACACATCGTGCAGAGACCAGGAAGTGTTAAAGAGGACTGTACCATGCTGTCTGTAGATGGGGGGTTTTCTATAGATATTATCTTTGACCATAGTCTCTGAAGATGGCAACAGATGCAGGAGAAAAAATGGAATAAGCCATCGTCATGGGAGAGAGAAAGGAAAGAGAGAAGCATGAGTTAGCAGTTATCGAAGAGATGGAAGGAAACCAGGGGCAAAAAAAGCAAAAAGAGGCCGAGGAGAGGGTCGATTAAAAACACGTATCGTTAACAAAACCGTATTATTCATGCTGGAACTGAAAGATAAAAAGTTATTCTTGGACATTTTAGTCACACTCAAAAAAACAAAAATTTAAAATCGAGTTAAATGACAACATTAGAAAAAAAATAAAGATTTTTAATTATGATTAAAAATTATGCATATTTATTCCAAAAAAGGATATTTCAAATGTTAATTGTGCTTAGATTTAAAGGTGACTTTAAATATAATTATAAAAGTGATTATAAATATATTCAGATACAGATTTTTTTTTTTTTGCATTTCGTGAGGCAGCAGCAAAACATAAGAACAGAGCGTGTATCTTTCCGATACTGGGGGCGGGGCTTACCTGGGATGTGGAAATGGCGAGGAGCGGCCACGTACGTCGAGGCCGAGGACGGGGACTTTCCATCTGAATACGTGGATAAACTCGGGGTACTTCTGCCACTTTCACTGCCTTTGGGTCCAGACAGGATGGAAGGGAAAGCATACAGAAGGAGAGGAGAGAGGAGAGAGAGAGAGAGGAGAGAGAGAGGAGAGAAAGAGAGAGGAAAGAGAGGAGATAAAGAGAAAGAGAGGTGAGAGAGGAGAGAAAGAGAGAGATGAGAGAGAGGAAGACAGAGAGTGAGGAGAGGGGAAAGAGAGGAGAAAGAGTCGAGAGAAAGAGAGTGAGAGGAGAGATAGAAGGAGATTGGGGAAGACAGAGGCATTAGACAGAGGCCATTGAGATCATCAAAAGTCTGTGAGTGAGTGATTTGCAAACCAGCCGTGTTATTTCATTTGATAAACTTTAGACACGTTTTACTTAAACCTGAGTACCTGAGGGAGGAGAGAGGAGAGAGAGGAGAGGGTGTGGAGAGCAGGGAGAGATGTGAGAAGAGAGAGAAGAGAGAGAAGAGAGCAGAAAGAGATGAGAGAAGAGAGAGTCTGTCTTGTCCCTCACAGGTCTGGGTGTAAGTCACAGTCACTTCTACAGTTAAAACACACACATGCCTTAACCACTATAAGCAGCACAAAAGGACCAAAAGGATCAATACAATGATATATTTCTATTCGTTTCTTTGGGGCTCTATCGCTCAGCCTAAAGAACACACACTTTTTGGTGCTATTTCATCGCTGTGGAATAAAAGTTTTCCTCCGATATCTCCGTCTTCTGCCAGTGCCGAACAGTGTCGGGTACTACTACTGCATTACTTTATAATATAACTTTCACCAAATATATATGTGCAGAAACTAAATGTTGCTTAAGTTTGACAGAGCTCTTGTTTTTGCACTAAACACATTTGTAAATCGTCTTTAACAGATGGGAAACTGAAAAGGAGAAAACAACCTTCACCTCTCAGTCCAAAGAGTCAAATAGCAATTGACGTCACGACCGCCTCATTACTTATGCGTATCACAAAGTGGTGGTCGCCGAGCTCGTTGTTTTCTAGAGAAGCGTGTTGAATATGCCTTCTGCATGTGTTATTTTAAGTTTCCTAAGCGATCGAATCGCGAAACCTTTAATGGATACTTTAGGATTCCTCGTGAAGAGATTAATAAAGAGCCTCGCACTAAAGACTTTAAGAAAAGACGCAGGAAAAGTGTTTTGCTAATATTTCACTAGCAAAGTATTATTTATTTACCCAGCCACGCAGTCACAATGCACAGTTATTACATCCCCATCTTTATTTGATTAATTGTCAGGTATGAGTTAGTGTTTTAGATAAACACTGTGAATGTTTGACCTGAAAAGAACACAGCTCACATGTTGAATTGTTTTGTTGAGAATGACAAGTTCATTCACCAATCGTTACTTACACGGCTCTTTACGATGCAGGATTCGCACCTTAACTCTGAGATCCTTAACCCACCCACAGACGAAGAGGTTTTATGCATCCATGCTTTTGTTTCGCAGTGCAAAAGCTTGATTGTAACACTAGATAGTTTGAGATATCTGGGAACTGAACTGGAGGGGTTTTTTTCTAACTAAAAAATCTAAAAATTCTTGGATAATGACAGTCTAGGATCATGCTGTGGAAAAATACTCCCTCGTGCATATTGTTAGAATGATGAGTTTGAACTTTAACCACAGTAGCTTCAAAGTGTCATGAAATATCAAAAAAGCACAAAAATACTCTGAAGAACAGTCACATTTTCTTAGCATATCAGCAGCAATTTTCGTTGGCCTGACATCACTTCATTAACCGGATATTGGATATGCGTCACGTGACTGCAAGCCAAGAAGAGACTAGTATACAAAGCATAAAACAAATACCCCAGCTTTAAAACCATATAAAAATGTATTTGAGTGATGATTTTGCTTCCAATGTCAGTAGGCAGAAACCCAGTCCTCAGTCTGGATCTCTGAGCAGTCACTAACACAGAGCGGCCTCCTCTTTCATCCTCCCTCTCCTGCTGGTCACACTGATGCCCAAGAGCCCTGCGTACGTGACTTTGGTAACCCTGCTCCGCCTCATGCTTTTAATCAGACCATTCCATGGTCCAAGAATGCATACGCGAGTTCAGGGCCGTCTGCCAGGCTGAGAGAGGAGAGAGAAGAGAGAGGGAGAGGAGAGAGAGAAAGGAGAGAGAGGAGAGGAGAAAGGGTAGAGAGAGGAGAGAGGGGAGGTGAGAGAGAGGAGAGAAAGAGAGAGGGGAGAGGAGAAAGGGTAGAGAGAGGAGAGAGGGGAGGTGAGAGAGAGGAGAGAAAGGAGAGAGGAGAGAAAGAGAGAGGAGAGAAAGGAGAGAGAGGAGAGAGATGGGAGAGGAGAGGAGAGAAAGAGAGGAGAGAGAGAGGAAAACCGTCTGCCAGGCTAAGACAGACTCTCACTCTTGCTTCTCAACAAGAAGGTCCTGGGTTGAAATCCTGTTCAGAACAGGGCCTTTCTGAGTGGAATTTGCATGTTCTCCCCGTGTCTGCGTAGGTTTCCTCCAGGTGCTCCGGTTTCCCCTACCACTAAAAACATGTACAATAGGTCTGGCATGCGCCTCCTGTACTGGCGACCCTGCTCTCTGTGTGGAGTGGGAGACAAATTCCCCAAAAAATAACAATTGTAAACCCCTTTGTGACTCTGGTCTGTGAAAGACGGTATATAAATACAGATTACTTACTTACTTTTGATTTCTTTTGATTCTTGCCAAAATGTCTATACAGTTTGTCTCAACAGAGATACAACAGAATAATCTCCTGAGATTCTCCTAAACATTGTCATTCAGCTTTATGTGTCCTGTTTGGGGTATAAAAATGTGTAAAATACAACACATTGGGAGCTCAATGAAAGTAAGTTGAATCAAGCAAACCGATGGAATTATATCTTCTTAAAACGTAGTCAAAAAAACATAATCAATGCGACACTTTAAAACAACTCAACCATGCAACACCACCGTGAGCACAGACAGCACAAAAGCGAGGGCAATGGAAACAACAGTGGTCCTAAGAGTGATCCTTGAGGTACCCCATGAAACCTTACCACAACACGACAACATCACAATACCTAACCATTCAGGCAGAGGGGAGGGGGGGGGACACTGACTGGAGAGAGGCTAAGTTACCGTCGGGAGGGGGCAAACTGAGACGCAGGGAGTTCTTAGCTGAGGGCTCGGGTTCGGGGTCTGCTGTGATCCCTGGGGAGTCACAGAAGAGACAGAAGAGAATTTGAAAGTTTGTGTTTGGCGCTAAAACAGATCTGTCTTTTCAAATGTTATGACTTTCCAATTGTTTTCCGATGGTACTTTATGAATCCAGACTCCTAAAACTCCATGTTCCAGCTTCTTCCCTTTTTCACAGCGACAATTTGTTCTTGTACATACTTAGCTTGTTTTATTCATGCACTAGTCTGGTCCAAACTGGAGACTTTTCCACATGTATTCCAAAGTAGTTTTACTGCAAATGAACTGAATCTGTTTATTTGCAAGTTAGCTACCTCAATTACTAGTAAGACAAAGACAGGCTGTACCAAAAAACTAACATTTGGGGTTAAAAAACATTGAATAGGAAGATTTTAAGCATCTAAAGCTCAAAATGGTGCACGCTGGGGTAGTCTTGCACAGTTTTTCTAATGTTGCAAATGGAAAATAAATTCTTGAAATACATATCGCTAATGCTAATGCTACTCCAACACCTATAATTGTAATTCATGTGATGTAAACCTGTGCAGACACTTACAGTATCTTAGCAAAAAAGACGCAGTGAGAAGCAGAGTTACAGCAGGTTTGTGATGTTAGTATTTGGCCATATGGTGTCGTTAACAATTGAACTTGGCAAACACCATGAAACAGTTCTGCCTTGAGTCACTCGGTGATGGTTTACTAAAAACCTCAGGAGCAGATAGAGACTTTCCAGGACGTGTTAAATCAGTGCTGAAAACCACACCACACCATGCCAAAGAGAGGCTCAGGGTTGGCCTCGTGCCACTGCAAATCTGTGAGGCCGGAGTCTGATGCACAGCGTACCAGGTGACACATGTACCAGGTGACACACGTACCAGCTGACACAAGAACCAGGTGACACATGTACCAGGTGACCCATGAACCAGGAGACACATGTACCAGGTGACACATGAACCAGGAGACACATGTACCAGGTCACCCACTGATCATAAGGATATTACAGATTCTGGGTCTGTATGAGTCTGTAAGGTTTGACTTGGCTTGGGGTAACTCACTTTTAAAACACAGGAAAACAATATATTTTTCTTCTTTTTCTGATTTATTTTGTATATTTTGTCTACTTTCTTTTTTACTTTTGTTATGTCAGTATTCATGAATAAAAAAAAAAAATTCTGTGTCTGTCTAAGCTTTGTTCTTACCCTAGTTTTAATAATAATAATATTAATGATACTAGTAATAATAAAATTGATTCATTTGTTAAGATTTTACTTAAATGTAAAATCTCCAAATAACATGTATTGTATTAAAAAAGTTAGGTACCCCAACTTTAAGCTTTTACCTCAACTGCTTTTGATGCGTTATAATGTGCAGTAATATTATTAGTGTTTTTCCTTGTAGTCTAAAAACAGCAGTGATGATCCAGGACATTTAATAATAACATTTATGGACCAATGGCTGTTTTTATAATTGTATTTTCTAATCTGTAAATAAATATAGTTGAAAATGAAGGTAGGAGACGTAGCCCTGGTCACGGTTGTGCGTTAGACTGTGGCCTCCTCTGATACCTCTGAAATACGGGATGTAGTTGTGCTGCTGCAGGAGGGCCAGGGTGGTGGGGTTTAGGTGTAAGGCAGTGCCCCCTGGTGGTATGGGAGAGCACTTTCCACTCCCTCCACCTCCTCCTCCTCCTCCTCCTCCTCCTCCACCTCTTCCTCCGCTGCCCTCTGCCCCTGCGCTGTGGTCCAGGGGCAGGGAGCAGTACTTAAGGCCTCCCGGGACGATGGGAGGCAAGAGGAGAGAGTTTGTGTCCCGGGGAAGGCTGCTGTACCGACCAGTGAGGACCGTGTCTGCTCCGAAAGCTCCAGAAACAACACGGACACTACAGTTAATTTGGACTGAGATTTAGTCAAGATTCAGCCAAATTATATTGTGTTTTTAAAGTCGCGTTTTAGATGTTTTTTATTCAACAAAAAATATCAAACAAATCATAGCTCAAAAAGAAAGAGATAGAGAAATGTTTTGTTATAAACTGGATTATTGAATGATTTTCTTATGTTTAAAATAATCCAATATGTTTAATATTCAAGTGCTCTGTTTTTCTTATCTTTTAAAGTTTACAGTGACTTCAATATGACAGTAAAAAAAACATAACCTTGTGCTACTTTTTGTTTAAATTATCTAAATATAATAATTTTGAGTATGTAAATGTATCCATAGTGAGATCAGTAAATGTGTGTTATCTTAACGTAATAAATGTAATTCTGATTTTGATTCTGATGTTATTGTTTTACACATATGAGAAGTTTTGCGAAACGGTCTTTGAGCAGCGGTCAGTGCAGGGTGTGGGGCTGGTACCTGGACGGCTGTAGTTTTGCGGAGAGCGAGACGGAGTGTAGCGACCGTAACCTCCCAGAGAACTGTTGGAGCTGGGGCTGGAGGCTCGTCTCTGTCTGGGAGACTTCTCACCGTCAACCTGAACACACACACACACACACAGACACACATGCACGCACACATGCACGCACACACACACACGCACAAACACAGACACACACACACACAAGCACACGCAAGCACAGACACACGCACACAAACGCACACGCACGCACACACACACACACATACACACTGCATTAGCCTTGATGACATAGCAACATAAAAAAACATTAGACATTTAGCAGTGGACATAAAGTTAGTTACGTTTTACAATCGAGGCCGTAAACACATAAGACTCACACTGACACAGAAGTGGAAGAAGTCTAGATGTTGTTTTTTTTTTAGGGCCGGGAGTTGATATAAAACTTCAGATCAGAGAGAAGTATTTTATGAATTTTTACTATATCCTAAGTTAAAGATGGCATCAGTGATTTATTCCAGACGCATGTTTTTAAATATTGTGAGGAAAAAGTCCCTAAACCAGTTAAGTAATCATCTGTTTTCAAATAGTAATGGAATTGACCAGATGCCTGTAGTCTCGAAAAATGTATAAAACATATTTTGGAGCGGGCCGAAAAAAATAAACCAATGGGATTCGTTCATCCCCAACGAAGCAATGGGATGCGTTTACATTATACATAATCTCCAGACCATTACACAACCAGAGATTGCTGCTTTTTGAAATGTCTCACACAAAGATAGAGAGAAAATCCAATCAGAATAGAATTAATATATATAATAAGACTCAAATCAAAGTCAAAGCCACATGGGAGAAAAGCAGCAGCACACCACAAATCTACCACTACACAGACAAACAAAACACACACGTCTTGGTTCTGCTTTACCTCAGGAGGAGTGGGGGAGAGCAGCTGGGGGGACTGCAGAGCGACACAACAGTTAGAATGGGACCAGGTTTAGGACCAGGTTTAGGACCAAAGAGACCATGTTTTAGAAGGAAAGCTAATCTATACAATGCATTTGTCCCATACCCTCGTGCTGCTACATGTAAACACACAACTATCTCAGGTCTAAGGACAGACTATGGAAGATCTGGTCTTTTTCTGGTCTCTTTCTGGTCTCTCTCTGGTCTCTCTCTGGTCTCTCTCTGGTCTCCCTCTGGTCTCCCTCTGGTCTCCCTCTGGTCTCTCTCTCTGGTCTTTCTCTCTGGTCTCTCTCTGGTCTTTCGCTCTGGTCTTTCTCTCTGGTCTCTCTCTGATCTCTTTCTGATCTCTCTCTGTCTATTTCTGGTCTCTCTCTGGTCTTTCTCTGCTCTCTATCTCTGCTCTCTCTCTCTCTCTCTGGTCTGTCTCTGGTCTGTCTCTGGTCTCTTTCTGCTCTCTCTAAAGCAGGGTTTCCCAATCAGGGGTACGTGGGCTCCTGAGGCTACATCAGGTTATTACAGGCAGTATTTAAACCTACCTCTCCATAGTGCCTCTCCTCAGACGGGTAGCTCACGTAGGGAGAGTACGACAGCATGTCTGGGCGGTCGATGTTGTAAATGGCCTTGGTCTTGGGAAGAGCAGCCAGATCTTTGTAGTCCAGCATCTCCTCTCCCATTTTAGCCTGAGGAGGAAAGGAAAAGCCAAGTGGATCCATCAAATCATTGCAATGTCAGGGTTAGGGTTATGTCCGAGGGAAGAAGCTGGAACATGGTGTTAGGATTAGGCAGACAGAGACGGATCGTGGTGTGCCAAACTCTAATACTAACAATGGCTTTTCCAGGGGCCAGAAGAATCCTTGATTTTTCTAAGAGCTGTGTTTAAGAGTCTCTCTCTCTGGTCTCTTTCTGGTCTCTCTCTCCGGTCTCTCTAGTCTCCCTCTGATCTCTCTCTCTCTGGTCTCTCTCTCTGGTCTCTCTCTCCGGTCTCTCCCTCTGGTTTCACTCCCTCTGGTTTCTCTCTCTCTGGTCTCTCTCTCTCTGGTCTCTCTCTCTGGTCTCTCTCTCTGGTCTCTCTCCCTAAATGTCCAATGATACACTGTGCAACCTTTTAAAAACTTGAAATTATACATGTTTATCCCAACAGTTTGTAAATAATATTAAATAAGTAATAGTAAATAAGATTGAAGGAAGCAATTATAGTATATTTGAATGCATTTGTGTATGTATTTACTTCTGATGCTAAACCTTACTCATTGCACTACAGGTTTTTGGGGCAGAACAAAAAAAGTCTATTCCAAAACACATTTTCATTGTAATTAGTGTAAAAAAGAACATGGACGCATTTTTGTGGCGTTTCATCAATCCCCAAATGAGTCCAATAATGATAGAAAGATGTGATGGGGCTGAGGAACTGCGTGACCCGCGTGTGTTTGCAAAGACGTGCTGGTGCTGCCCCCTGGTGGTGGCGGTGGGTGGTGCAGGCTCACATAGATGACTCTGTTGGGAGAACCAGAGGCGCTGGAGGCCGGGACTGAGGTGATGCTCTCGGAGGAAGTCCTAGTGACCTGCCAATCAGAACACAGCATGTAAACACACACATACAATACAAGATACACAAACACTACACACAATACACACACAATACGGAAATAACATGGAAGGATAGATCACTGCAAAGTCAAAGGCTAAGTCCGAATTCAGCAACAATACCTTCTTCCTCGTCCTTCTGTATAAAATAAAATGGACCTTCTATGACATGGGGAGGCTCCATGTTTAGTTAAGTGCTATTTAATACCTTTTAAATACATTTTTGATGCCACTTAGGTCATAATTATACATATTAGAACATATTAGGAAGCAATTAGATCATAAGAAGCAGATCAAAGCTACAACTAGGAAAAAAAATCATATGAAATGAATGAATTTTAAAATGGAGAAAACAAATATATAAACAAAAATAATGATAATTTTGGACAAAAACGAAGTTGTACTGCAGCCCGTCTTTAGTACGTTTTATTTCAATTTGTACAGGTTTAAGAAGGAGCAGGCAACATAAGATTTGTTTTTTTCTTTCTGCTCCTTTGTGTGACAGGATTACAATTATTGTCTCTCTCTGGTCTCTCTCTCTCCAAATTTAATGTAATTGTAATATAGATAGATAGATAGATAGATAGATAGATAGATAGATAAATATGTTTTATCATTATGTCCACAATATAAATAAATACATAAATAATTGATGCCACAGAGGTCAATAAACATGAGAAGGAGAAGCTAGTAAGGATAGCAAAGGAGGTATTTGTTATGAAATTGGATGCAGCCGAAATATTGGGCAGAAAACACAGTAGAATATTTAGTTACATTCTTTCAAAGCAACAAAGCAATCCAAACTTCTCTTAATCTGTGCATCAGGTTAGTTCCATCACAGATAAAACACACAACACACTGAGTCTTGGATCTACAGTGGGTCCTGGAGCGGGTCCCTACAGATGCAGGAGGGTCTGGGCCGGTGAGGTTCCGGTACATTTATGGACATTTATGGACATTTATCGTCCCGTTTCCTGTCTTCCTATGATTTGATTTTCTGATCTGTTGTTAAGGAATCGGATTCTCAGTACTTCTACACACACTTCGCTAGAGTCGTGCAAGATATCAATGAGATAGGTCTTTTCGAGGACAACATCACCAATGATTCTTGCAGCAGGCCAAACCTTATTATCTTTGTTTGTTTTAGTTATTTTTTAGTCAAACTCTGATTCCCAGTCAGGCTGAACCAGGCTGAACCAGGCTGAACCAGGCTGAACCATGCGGTGGGAGGCGGGACTGAACAAACCTCCTCATCGCGGAGGTCATTGAGCTGAATCCGAACCTGTTTCTGGGGAAATAGTGAACGATGAAGACAGGATTGAGGAAGATTGTAAATGTCTGTGATTGTGGTGGGAAAAATCAATTCGGTTCAGTGTTGGGATATTTTGTATATGTATTTGTATATGACTAAAGTACAAGAACATTTAGTATATGTAGTACATGTAGTTTGAGTTTATCTTATTTACTGTAAGTGTCATGCACAAAAGTGGCCAGCCCACATGGGCGTCTATGACACTGAACAGCAGCATCTGATGCTACAGAAAAACAGAAAAGAACAGTTGTCTTCTCTCACAGACTTCAGCAACAAAAGAAGCAAAGGAAAAAACTTCATGACGATACATCCAGTTCATAACTTTATATATATAATATATAATAACATCCAGTTTCTCCCTCAGGTCAAAGAACCTCTGCTTTAGAAGCATTTACTTTACTACTGTAGTATCTGTAGTATCTGCAATATATGTAGTATCTGTAGTATCTGCAGTATATGTAGTATATGCAGCATAAGTAGTATATGTTGTATCTGTAGTATCTGTAGTATCTGCAGTATATGTAGTATATGCAGTATATGTAGTACCTTGCTCTTCTCTTCCTGTTTTGCTGCTTGTCTACACGGAGGGTGCCAGATTGAGTTTCCTACAGACACAAAGGTGAAAACAAAGTCATCAGGACTAAACATGGAGAGGCCGTGTGTCAGATTTATGAAACTAAAATCTATCTCTAGTTTTCACATCTTTATCTTTTCTATTTTAGCTGCAAAAGTTAAAGGCTAAAAAGTCTAAAGTCTCTGGTCTTTCTCTAGTCTCTCTCTCTGGTGTCTCTCTCTAGTCTCTCTCTGGTCGCTCTCTCTGGTCTCTCTCTGGTCTCTCTCTGGTCTCTCTCTCTGTTCTCTCTCTCTAGTGTCTCTCTCTGGTCTCTCTCTGGTCTCTCTCTCTGGTCTCTCTCTCTGGTCTCTCTCTGGTCTCTCTAGTCTCTCTCTGGTCTCTCTCTGGTCTCTCTCTCTGGTCTCTCTCTCTGGTCTCTCTCTGGTCTCTCTAGTCTCTCTCTGGTCTCTCTCTGGTCTCTCTCTCTGGTTTCTCTCTGGTCTATCTCTCTGGTTTCTCTCTGGTTTCTCTCTGGTCTCTCTCTGATCTCTCTCTGGTCTCTCTCTAGTCTCTCTGGTCTCTCTCTAGTCTCTCTGGTCTCTCTAGTCTCTCTCTATAGTCCAGGGGTGCCCAAAGTGGGGCCCGCGGGCCAAACTTGGCCCGCCAGACCATTTCAGGTGGCCCGTCTAACATTGTCCACCCCTGCAGCAAGTTTCTATCTGCCTCCCTCAGACTTGCTAGACACATAGATGTCTGATGTCGCGCGGGCCTATACACTCTAAAATGCTGTCCAGTACTTTAGTCTTGTATCAAGATGCACGCCTCACTCATGGTTCACATCAACTTGCACTAAAATGTTTTTTAAATCAAACACACCTATCAAAACAATTGAGTGCAAGGCACCTTTATGTTTTATCAATTTGAGAGGATCCCCATGAGCCTTTTCGCTTGTAGGAAAGTATAAGAAAGGCAAGCAGAAAAGTGCACCCCTAGTGTTAGGTTTCTGTTTTGCATTATGAAGTACTTTCGCTTTTGAGCCCGTAGCTGTTGCCATAGCAACATGCAGCCGCATGCCTTCATTCATTCATTTTGTTGCCTGTATCAGTGTGCATTAATGGTAACGCATAATATCGGTGTATTTGGCCCGCGGTAGCCTGGCAAATTTTTACTTTGGCCCTTTGAAGCAAAAGGTTTGGCCACCCCTGCTCTAGTCTCTCTCTGGTCTCTCTCTCTAGTCTCTCTCTGGTCTCTCTGGTCTCTCTCACCTTGCAGGTACATCTCCTCTCCCTCTGCAAACATGAGCTCACAGCGGGCACAGCGGGCGCAGGTAGGGTGGTAGTGCTTCTCTCCAGCCTGAAACACACACAGTATGTTATTACATTACTAGGTTAGGATTCTCTCCCTGATCTCTCTCTCTTCGGTCTCTCTTTAGTCTCTCTCTGGTCTTTCTCTCTGGTCTTTCTCTCTGGTCTCTCTCTGGTCTCTATCTGGTTTCTCTTAAGTCTCTATCTGGTTTCTCTTTAGTCTCTCTCTGGTTTCTCTTCAGTCTCTCTCTGGTTTCTCTCTCAAATTGATTTAATTGATATACATACCATTTGTATAAACTCTTACACAATACTATATGACGTGTGTTGCCAGATCCCAGCGGTAATAAGCCTCAAAACTCTTCAGCAACAAACGGACCCTCCCTATTTTCATTTGGATGAAGCAGAACTCTTACACAAACCACTAAAATGTGATTTCACAGAAAAACGATGGCGCCTTCTCACAACAGGGATAACAAAACTATTGCCAAAAGTTCATAGTTTGAAAGACCACAAGAGACAGAGTCCAAGCAAAGAGGAAGTTGACTTAGCAGCATCAGAGCCAAAAGATAAATCCACCGGAACTGTATTGATATTCAGACATGGAAAGAATCCTGTATGTCCAGCAGAGACCGTAGTCAAAGTCCTCTCTTTGTACGAAAGCCGAACAGGAAATGAATTAACATATTCAAACTCATTCTATTTACAGAGAAAGCGGATCAGGAATATTCAAATTCAGACATTGAAGGTGATCGCTACAACTTAAAATTGCGTTTAATTTTCAACATAATACAAATTACATAGCCTCGGTCTTATCCATGTGTAAACTCTGGTCCATGATCATTTCCTTCATGTACGTCTGGGTCTGATCCTAGTGACTGCAGTTTTCTCGATTGAATCCCCTCCCCTCAGAGAGCGGGGGAGGCGGGTGTTGTAGGTCGGTGTCGGTGACGTCAAGAGTTTGTGCTGAATTTTCTGGTTGTAGTTTGTCGGAGAATGCGATAGTAGAATAATCTGTTCTGGTTCTGCTCCAAATATCAAGAAACTGAAGCCAGGGCAAGAGGAATGTTCAGTAAATGTAATTGAAGCAAAGATGTTGTGGCTCTACTCCCCACGGGCTCCGTTAGTGGCAAAGGAGATGGCTAAAGCTAGGCTAAATGCTAAAGCTAGTGACTCACTCAGGCGCACTACATACATCACGGTAAACTCAGATACAATGGTTTCAATCTGCAAAAGGAGTTAACCCCTCCCACTTGTTAACGGAGTCAATGGAGCAAATCCGATCTTTCGTACAAAATGAAATAGTACGATGGTGTGATAAGACCAATAAATTAAGCCTTTTTCATAATCCAGATATGTCACATGCTTGTGATGGTTATCGCTTCGGCATAGTGAGATTTTCTGCAGTAGAATAGTTAGACCAATGGGGAGGGGCCCAATCAGGAACCGGTGGGGGCGGGTCTAATTAGTGCTGGCAGTCAATAAATATCCCTACATTTTCACAATAAAAAAGTAACTGACTTTTACTTTAAGAATTGACTGAAGTTGGTGTTGCAAAAACTAAAAAACATAAGTAATTAATTCTAGCACTTTGCAAGGTAGTGGTTTGCTAAGTTCTATATACTGTATTCTGTATACGTCCCTGGTCAAAGACAAGTGGAGCTCAGATAAGTGCCGTGGCATTTGGAGCTCCGGCCTCTGCTCTCTGTAAGAGCAGATATGACCTCGGAAAAGGCCGCTAACACTTTGAACAGATGGGATTATTATATATTTTAGAATAAGCTGTAATATCTATCATCGTTTGGCCTGACACAAGAAGTACTTTTTAACTCCTAGGTTTTGGTTCATTATAGGCCTTTAATAATACTAATAATAATAATACATTTTGTTTTATAGTGCACCTTACATATCAAGGAAGCCTCAAAGTGCTACAGATAAAAATACAAAGCCACAACAACAAAACAAAGTAAGATAATCAGAAGTACATAAATAGATCAGAAAAAAGGAGGCAGAGTTTATACTGTATTCTGTGGTGGATGTGGAGTCAGTAGAGGGACCGGAGGACAGGGGTGATGTGGTCATATTTGCACCTCCTCGTCAGGACCTGGAGCTTTTGCAGGCTCTTGGGATCCCGACAAGGAGGGCAGTAGTCAGTAGAAAGTAGTCCAGTCTGGAGGAGATAACCAGAAGGTGATCGGCAGTTTGATGGTAAAGTGTCAAAAACCAAGTGACAATTTCAGCTCAATTTCAACTTCAAGTAGATTTGACTCAAAACATAGTCTACAAAATTGTTTACTGAAGAAATGCATGTAGATTTTTATTCACGCCTTCTTGATTTTATTCTGCTTTAACTTGTTTGCACCGAGAGCCAAACCAATTTTCTAGTTTGTCATGTCTTGTTACTCACATGGTATTAAATTCTGATTCCGAAACTACTAAAATTTTATAACGCTAGAAGCCATTTACACAAAACTAGTCCATTATGTCCTCATTATGCCTCTAAATCATAGAAAAGTGACAAATCTGCTCCTCTCCTGCATGTTTTATGGATGAGGTCATGAATAACACTGCAGCACATGTGTGTAAAGAGGCTGCGTACGCCACTTCCGGTGTCTGTCCCGCTGGTGGCTAATGGCGCTGAATAGAAAGGTGATGTCACTGGTTTCTCGTATCTCCGCTCCTCTCCAGACGCCAAACCTGATCCGGTCCTGGTGTGAGAGAAGCGCATGATGCTGACAGACGGATCGAAGGTTCAGCCCCATATCGAGGTCAGTGAGGGGGCTTCCGATGGAGAGCTTTGCCCAGTGAGCTTTGCCCCGTGGTGAGTGTTTAGTGTCCTAACATGAGAAGGCATCAGCTAGACTCACTTCTCAGGCTGCTTTTGCACGTGTCCACATGATAAGATAAGATAAGCTTCATTGATAGTGGACTTTATTCACTTCTTCTGGAGAAATGTACTCGTCACATTTAGCACGGAGAGAATTGCTCAGATCGTGCACAAAGACAGATGTTGAAGGTTAAAAATATAGTCTGTGCAGGATATAATCATGTTCAATACAAAAGAGTGGCAATAGCAGTGCTGGGTTTTTCAGCCCTAGTGCATTAGTGACTTAAAGTGACTTATTGTACAGTCTGACAGCGGTGGGGATGCAAGATTAGAGTCAATATTTGTGGAGGCAAAACGATTGCTAACCCTAGTAACCCGGTCACCATCTATATTCTTGCTCCCATCAGCACCAATAATCAAATTTAATTCACATATAACATAAGTAATTATTACAATCCTATTTGATTATTATATACAATATACATGATAAAGAAAATTATAAATATGAATAATATAATAATAATATTTTTTCATTAACAAACTAAAAGACATCTGCTTCATTAAGTATTTCTGGGCAATAGAATAAATGCAAATGTTTACAATTACTGTGGGAATATAGTGCAGGAAAACCACAGATTCTGACTCAAAAACAGTCAGCATTTCAAATTCATGAAGCTAAAGTCTGCAATAAAAGGCATCTGCTCAAATCCAAACTGTGCAAGACCTGAACATGTTCTTCTATTGCACTTGAAATGTCCCTTTATACACATTGTGCTAAACAAACACACAAGCCTTGCTAATCTAAATCCTACATCAGCTTTGCAACGTGTAAAGTATTATTCAGAGTTACTGTAAAAGCCTGTTTAGTCTTCTCAAAAACTACAGAAATAGATTTTAGCAAATGACTGTCTGCGTCACAACCCATCAAAGCTTAGTCACTTCTTATGACAATCATTACAATAAAACCACTCAGTCTCTGTAACACACACACACACACACACACACACACACTTTCTATTTTAATGTCTTAATTTGAACTGTGTATTATTATGCAAGTTATATGATTGTATTGTCAAGAACTACATGTGGAAAGAAGCTGGTGCTAAATCTGGTGCATTTGTCTTTTTGATGAAACTGCACATTATCCTTAACAAATCAAACCTCAAAACACACACACACACACGCACACACACACACCTCAAGCTAAAAGACCTGGCCCAGGCCTAAAAATCCCCAATCTCCCAATCTCTCCGCTCTCTTCCTTCATATTCAAGACAAATGTGTTGGATCTACATCTTACCAGTGGCGCTCACATAAACGCATGGTTCTCGAGTCTTTCCTGGTTCTGTCCCGTCCAAACCCTCTCTCCCCGTAGAGTGTTTCAAAGAGCTCTCCACACAACTATCTTCGTTGGTGTGCTCCCTCGCCTCCTGTCTTTTGTCAAGTCTTTATCACAGATTCAGGTCAGAGCATAATGCCACAACAATGATGCAAATATGACTTCATAGAGGCCAAAAAACTACGCCAGGGAAGCGGCTAACGCCAAATGAAAGGCGGCAGATATAGTTTCTTTAGCGTGATGTGTCCTGGAGGTGTTTGGGTGATGCTATGTGAAATGTGGGATACTCTAAGAGATTTGATGACAGCGAGGAGAAGGCCCAGGGCGAGAGAAGGAGGCGAAAAGGTGAAACAGGCAAAGATTCAGATTATTTGCTATTTGCAAGCGGAGCACCTCCCTATAATCTCTCTCTGGTCTGTCTCTGGTCCTCTTTGGTGTCTCTCTGGTCTTTCTCTGGTCCTCTCTGGTCTGTCTCTGGTCTCTCTCTGGTCTTTCTCTGGTCCTCTCTGGTCTCTCTCTGGTCTCTCTCTGGTCTCTCTCTGGTCTTTCTCTAGTCTCTCTCTGGTCTTTCTCTGGTCCTCTCTGGTAATAATAATAATAATAATAATACATCAAACTTGTATAGCGCTTTTTTGGACACTCAAAGACGCTTCACATGGGGAGTAGAATACAATAATAAAAAGGGGTTTACGGAAAAGCTTGTTTGAAAAGATGGGTTTTGAGTACTGATTTAAAGTTTGATAGTGAGTCAGAGTTTCTAATGGGCAGTGGGAGTGAGATCCAGAGGGTTGGGGCGGCAATGGCAAAAGCTCTGTCCCCCAAGGTTCGGCGGTTAGTGCGGGTGATGGGGGTGAGGAGGTTGGAATTGGCTGAGCGAAGGCGGTGGGTGGGTTGGTGCTGCTGTAGGAGCTCAGTAAGGTAGGGCGGGGCCAGGTTATGGAGGGACTTGTAGGTGAGGAGGAGGAGCTTGTAATGGATGCGGTATTGAACGGGGAGCCAGTGGAGCTGCTGGAGGACAGGGGTGATGTGTTCTCTGGACCGGGTGTGGGTGAGGAGGCGGGCTGCAGAGTTCTGGATGTATTGCAGTTTTTGGAGATGAGTGGTGGGAAGTCCGTAGAGGAGGCTGTTGCAGTAGTCGAGTCTGGAGGTGATGAATGCGTGGATGAGGATTTTGGCTGTTGACTGGGTAAGGGAGGGGCGGAGGCGGGCAATGTTGCGGAGGTGGAAGAAGGAGGTTTTGGTAGTCTCTCTTCATGCTAACCTGTACCATGGGTCAATCTAACTGTCTGGATTATGGTCCTGGCCTCTCCATTGGCTCTGGAGTACTGTGTGATGTCAGTTGGTTTGTGCGACGTAGCAGGTTGGAGTATTCTGACACTTAACCCCACTTTTCCTGAAGCCCCCGCTGAAAGATGAAGACTCCAATGGACTCAGCATCTGCAGGAGTATCATGAGGGGCTGGTGCTGTGTGTACTGGGCACAGCTCTGTCTGCCACCCTTCAACCCAGAAATGTATTTAGGCATAAATAAAGTCAACGACTGAATTCCAGATGTACTGGGCTTTAGAAAGAGTTATGACATGTCTGTATTGGCTGAGCTGAAGTTGGATGGATGACACAGTGAACTTGTATTTATGATCTCAGAGACTACTTTGGGTTAGCAAGACAGAGGGCCACATAAAATGACACTGAGGGCCGCAATTTGAGTTTGGACATGCCTGGATTAAGAGGAAGAAGATGGATGGAGACAAACTGGGCGTTTTAGACGTAATAATTGTGTCTTCGTTACTTGTTGTTACTTGTGGAGCACTCTTAATAGTACAGACGTAAATGATTCTGTGTTAAAGTAGTGCGCCCTCTACTGGACAAACAAGGAACAAAACAAGAGTGGGTCTGTGAGCATTCAGCTAAGCGGCCGTGGTAATTTCAAGACTTTCTGGTGTCATTGACTCAAATGTAACACTGGTACAGTTTAGTGCAGAGTGAACCATATGCGCCTTCAGCTAAAACATCCATAAAAACAGAATCGCTGAGTCATCCTTAGAATAAGTGTGTTTTGGACAGTTGTGTTTCTGAATTACAGCCTGTGTTTAAGAGGAGGTGGTATGACCTGTTTAAACATTTATCATTCCGTGGGGAAAAGAGGTCAGCGGAGCATCCTGTTGTGTAGCAGAGAAACCACTGCCAACGACGGCGTAACATAAATGTAAAATATAAAGATAAGTGATGTATAATAAATGAGTCTAATGTGGGACTTTTACATGCAGTTATTGTAAATATTTGATGAGTGGCCATAGCTGCTGCGGATTCAGAAGTATGAATGAGTTTATGTTCATTCAGTTTATCATCATGTTTATGTATTTATTTGTTAACGCTTTAAAGGACAACTCACCCTCAAATCCACTTTTTTTGCTGATAAACGGTATAAATGAGTGTCCAATAGTGTTGTCTACATATCCTGGTCATAATCTTGTCACTTTGGTGCAAATTAGTTGAAAGTTAGACTTTCTGCCTAAAACCGTCTGTGAGGCGCCATCTGCTGGCGACCTGTATTACTACATTTGAATTTTGAATCTGGCGCCAACACTGGCACAGAAGTTGGACCTGACGTCTGCAAGTTGGACCTGACGTCAGCAGCCCCCCGCCCAGAGCAATGTAAACGGCCCAGTCTCGTTCACGCCCCCTTTAGTCCTCCAGGCTACGCCCATTTAGAGGAAGATTTGAACAGGAAATGTGAGTAACGTAAGCTCCGAGGAGCGGGGGTGAGAACCACTTTAAAGGTTTCCTCAATCAAAAAAGAAAAATATACATTGCTTTCTCCAAGGCGTAATTTGTTCATTTGATTTGAACAGATGTGTTTATGCTTCTTCATTATGTTCAAGACAGAGATTTTATACATATAGCTATGTTTATCTTGTGCTGTGTGCTCCTCATTCCTACTGTAATGCAACACTGAAATTTCCCCGCTGTGGGACCAATAAAGAATCTAACCCATAATCTGAGACCTGTTATTTTTTTAATGTAAATTTATCTGTTGTGTTTACAGTATGTGTAACTTTGCCGCCAGGACTTACTTGAAAAATAGGTTTTTAATCTCAATGGGATTTTTTCTGGTTAAATAAAGGTTAACTAAAAATAAATAAATAAACAGCCGGATCTGTCAATCATCCATCACTTTCACTTCACAGTTGTCGGTTACTTACTTGCGGTAAACTCTTTGCTTGAGGTTGTGATCAAGACAAAATGTGCATAAATTCAAGTTGTATTCATATTTTTGCAACGCATTGAATATTTACAATACCAAAACCAATGCGTTTATATTCTTCATTATCTGTAGACGCTGCTCTCGGGGGAAAAAATTAACTTACCTCCAGGACTTTTCCAGTGATGTACTTTTTGCAGTTCTCACACTGGATCCCGAACATGGCGTGGTAGTCCATCTCACAGAACGGAATCCCATCCCTGCAGAACCAGACCAGAGAGGACTTTGAAAAGATGGACAATTTTTTGAATAATAATGTAACCCAGAGTGTAGGCATGACTCAATACATATAGAGCCAATATTGTGACCGGAGAGAGAGGCCAGAGAGAGAAATCAGAGGGAGAGAGAGCAGAGAGAGAGCAGAGAGAGAGAGAGAGAGAGACAGAAAAGAGAGAGAGACCAGAGAGAGAGTAGAAAGTGACAAGAGAGAGACAAGAGAGAGACCAGTGCAGGACTGAGGGCTACAAGCAGACAGTGATAGTCTTCTAAACTAATCCCTGCGGTGCACACAACCTACAAAATTTTCTTCTGACTTTAAATTTGACTTGCCTTGTGCTATACCAGGGGTCGGCAACCCGCGGCTCCGGAGCCGCATGCGGCTCTTTAGTGCCCCTCGAGTGGCTCCTGGAGCCTTTTCAAAAATGTCTGAAAATGGAGTGGGAGGGGTATATTTTATTTCTAGTTTCAATGTGGTTTCTGTAGCAGGGACAACATTCTTAACGTTTTCCAATGCAATAAAAAATTGCATAAGAAATATTACATTTTAACATTTGTGTCAACGGAGATTTGCGTCATATCCTGCGACGCGCGGTCACGCGGCCTCGCGTCGGGCGGCCGCTGTTGTAAACAAACCGGCATGTGCCACAGGAATCTGCATAAATCCCAAAGCTAAAAAGGGAAATAGTTGATAAGAACCAGGAACTCAAGGAAGAATGGACTGGAACATTTGCTTTCATTGTCAATGAGGAAGGACTGCTTCATGTTTTCTTTGTGAGATTATGTCGAAGAACAAAAAGAGTCATGTGGAAAATCGGCTGCTGACCCCAGTTTGGACAGAAACAGTGCGATCGCAGTTATTCTGGAGCGGATTCATCTCCAGACTTCTACTGCTGAATTTTGTTGCAACACAAGGAACAAAGAAGTGCGAAACACCGTTCGGGACATTCAGCTCCAGCCAACTCCAGCCGTGACGACGTGTGACGTGATGGATATGAACAGACAGTGCTGTAATGCAGGTGTGTGAACTCTTGTATTTCTACAATTGCATGAACGCAACAAAAGGAAAGTTAAACTTAAAGCATATATCGTATAGCAGAGCAGTCACATGGTGCCTCATTCTCTTGCACTACAGTGAAAATGTATATACATCATAATCATGAATGCATATTATGTAGTTATTTGTAGCCTATACTTACTCATTTTGATACTAGGCTAATACAGCTTATAGCCTGTGTTGCTTTTATGTAAGCAGTAAAGTTTATGCGGCTCAAGACGGATTTGTTTTTTGTATTTTTGGTCAAGTATGGCTCTTTGAACTTTTTGAGTTGCCGACCCCTGTGCTATACAAATAACCTCGCTTTGCCTTGCCTTAATTCAGTTCCATACATTTCCATGCTGTGATTTTCTAATTTCCAGCAGCCCTGAAAACTGTTGCTCTACACCAGGGGTCGGCAACCTAGGGCACGCGTGCCGCGGAATAAACACCGGCACGCCGGCACCTCCGCATTATTCTCACTGTATCTGTCATGTTTTAAAAATAAGAGCATCTCCCTCTTTGTCTGAGCGCTTTTGGTGGCCGGCACTAGGACCCAGCGGACACCACTGCGGGGATAAGCTGCGTGCTTCCCTCACCGGTGTGTGTGTAGCTGTGGGTGAAGCCAGGAGCCTGCAGCTGCAGGTGTATGCGAGATTTAAACTTATTTTTGCACATTCAAAGTAGTAACTGGTGTGCCATTCACTGCAGACGCCTCCTACAATCACTGCGACACGCTGTCAACACTGTGTGCGTGAAATCAAAGAGGGAACTGGTGAGTTTAAGCATTTTTGTGCTGCACAGAGCTAGGATGCTAGCGCTAGCCTCTGATGCGATGTTGAATTCGAATATTGTTGTTCTCATGTTGATTCCCTGTGTAGCCGACTATGCCTTTTTATGTGCTCATGTATGGTTACCAGAGCATGAAATTTGCTTGTGTGTTCTTGAACCAAAAGTATTAATACATTTATTTTTGATATGTGCACTGAACTGAATGAATTGTATTGTGATTTATGGTGCAGAGGATGAATTGTGAATTATGAAGTGAGAATGAGCTCTCTGATTATTGAGTATATATTTATTGTACATGTACATGTATTTTTGTAGTAGTGATATATTGCTAAATGAAACTGTTGGATATTTATATTGGTCCTGTCATGCAGGCCAGGTTCCTTGGATCCGTCCGTCCATATGGACTTCTTCTGATGGCGAGCTGCCCCAGGCCGAAAACCTAGAGATTGTCAACCCTACAGTGTGGTAGGAGGCGAGCAGTCTCCCTCACACGACACCACAAACTGAGACAATAACCTGAACTGGATTACTGCAAAGTACACGCTCCACCTTTTCAAACCAACCTGCCAAACCCAACTCAACCGGACTCTCTCACTCAAAACCCATTCAATTATTTTTTGTAAATATTGTAAATATTGTGAATGTGGGGTGTGTGTGTGTGTAATCTATACCCTGCCTTTGTAAATATCTATTAGAGGTGCAACGGTTCATCACTGATCCGTGATCTGTTCAGATCACCGTCTTCGGTTCGGTACAGACGTGATCCGCGGTTTGATTTATGAAAAAGAAGTTGTGCACTCCCACTATGTTGTTTAGTTCACACACAGCGTAATCATGGCGAGCGGAGGAACAGAGAAGCCTGTGTCATTTAAATCCTCGGTATGAGAGCATTTTGGCTTCACTGTAACTATACTGATGATTAAATAGTCGACACAACAGTCACAGTGTAAATACTGTGGCACAAGACCGACCCTTTACGCACAGTCAGACCGGGCTAAAGTCAACTCTCCCGCGTATCCTCAGTTGCGCTCACAACTGACGCTTGGACGTCCCGCGGAACCTATAATAGATCCATGAGCGGTTGAGATAACCATGAAATGTTACGATAACCGCTCACTTCATCACTGCAGACTGCGAGATGAAAAGTCGGGCGTTGCAGACACGCCCCCTCTACGAAAGTCAAGTGTGTCAGTACAGGCACACAGCGCAGGTACTGACACAGCAGTGGAGGAATGGAAGACAAAGGCCCAGTACTAATATCCCAGTTACAACTGATAATGCCAAAACTTAAATAAATGCAGTGAATGAGGCTGGGCCCAGGATGGAGCGCCTCCTCGGGAGAATCAGGTGGTTTAATGTATGAGGGTAAATATTCTCATAAAGTGCCTTCTTATGTTGCACTTTGTGTTTTTCATTAATTATGTTAAAAAGACATAATTGGATGGATGCCATCCATTTTCTTCCCCTTAATCCATTTCTAGGTCAGGGGGGGGGGCAGTCAAAGCTGCACCCAGTACACAGAGCACCAGCCCCTCACTGATCCTCCTGCAGGTGCCGAGTCCACAGGAGCCGTGTTTATTAAATAGACAAAACTTTTTTGTTGTTGAAAAATGAACCGAAAAATGAACTGAACCGAGGTACAATCCCAACCGTGATTTTTTTCAAACCGTTGCACCCCTAATATCTATCTTTTAATTCACATCTGGACCATACCACTGTCTGTCTGTGATTTTAAACACCTCTCCCTCTGAACCGAATCCTAGCTTCTGGTCTGAGCCCAAATACAATCAGTTTACTGGACTTAATATTGTTATATGCTACACTAGCTGTTTTTCAGTCTTTAAAATGTTTATAAATTATTTTGAAATACAGATACTGTTATTGTTGAGAATAAAATTCCAAGTATATTGGAAATGTTTATGTATTTTGTGTCATTTTTAACTTTGCGTTTATCGATGGTAATGGCACACTAGATGAGAAGAAAATTTCAAACTGGCACTCCATGTCACAAACGTTGCCGACCCCTGCTCTACACTAAACCAGAAAGTACTCACTTGCTGATGTACTCTGCGTTGAGCACCTTGTTGCAGACTTTGCACTTGAAACAGCCCAAGTGCCAGTGTCTGTCCAGCGCCACCAGAGACTGCTCGTTCTTAAACTCCTTCCCACATCCGCAGCAGTCTGTTACACACACACACAAACACACACACACACCGCTTATTGTCGGTCGGTGAAATAAAAAACAATAGCAAAACAAACATAGATTATTATTAAGACGCTAGTTTTAGGATTTGTAGGACGCACGTTTATTGTCAAAATAGATTGGGAAATAAACTAAACAATTGTAGAAAATAGCAGAAGATGCCGAGGTTTGAGATTGTGTTACAGCAGAAGACGTTTTATTGTTGGTAAAAAGGCACAACCAGAGTTTTACAACTACAACGTGATTTCAAACCAGAGGTAGCCATTGATGCTACTTGCTACATTAGCGTCAACGGCTTGCTTACACCATTGGGCGACACAGTGGCTGAATGGTTAGTCCCAAATTTGAATCAAAGTTGGAACAGGGTCTTTCTGAGTGGAGTTTGCATGTTCTCCCTGTGTCTGTGTAGGTTTCCTCAAGGTGCTCCAGTTTCCCCTACCACTAAAAAGATGCACAATAGTTCTGGCCTGTGCCTCCTGTACTGACCTCGCTTCCTTCTATGTGTGGAGGGGGAGATAAATGCCCCCCATTTTAAATCTTTGTGACTCTGGTCTGTGAAAGGCACTATATAAATAAATATGACTTACTCACTAAAGAACAATACTTACTCCCCGACCCCACTGTATAAGACACATATTTATTGTCAAAAAAGATTGGACTACAAACTAAACAATACATTAGAGTCCATACAAGAAGCTAACGGCTATGCTAAGAGTGTATTGTCATTTTATCATGTCCTCTCCTGCAGCTTATATTCAAGTGAGGCTTATATGTGCGCTTCACAGTCCAGTGTGTGTGTGCGTGGTACTCACTGTGCACGGCCTGGATGGGTGCAGGGCTGTTTGCGGGCAGAGGCTGAGTGCACTTCTGGCAGATACACTCTTTTCCATTGAATGTCACTCGGTCTCCTGCTGGGAACGGCTGTCTGCGACGGACAGAGAACGTCAGTATTTTATTTTATTTGTACAGAATCCATACAGTAGCTAGAGCAGTTTATGAAGACTTCTGCCCACGTCATGGACCAAACAACGACGACAGCAGTATCAAAATCTTAAGTCTTTTTATTGCTATTGTTATTGTGAGAATCAGGAAGTCACAAACTGGGAAATTTACCTTGACTCTCAGTGCAAAGTTATACAGGTAAAAACAGACACCACATGAGTTGTGTGGTCCTCTGTATAAACTGGGCCTAATAAAGTTACAATGTAGGCAAGCTTCTGTTTTTACACTTCAAAGCATTGTGGCTCTTGGACACCCACACACACACACGCACGCACGCACACACACACACACACCCACACGCACCCACACACACACACACACACACACAGCTGTCAGGGGGATGACAGGTCCCTGGCTCTCTGTTCTCTGATCACCACGTCCAAAAGTGTGACCAACTCTCCTATATTCATATTTGGTGTATTTATAATCCACACAGGAGTCACTTCCTGTGCGGAGACTGTCAGAGATGGGTTTATGGTAATCCTCCTAAAAAAGAGCACATTTGGAGTTAAACTGTGATTATAAATTTGGGAGTGTGCGATTCAGGAGTTCAGTTTGGTGCAGTGTCAAATCCTAAATGTTTAAAAACCTCAAAGCAAACTTGGCTATAAATATGCAACAAAAAGTTCAACGGTTATGGCAAAAAATATGACTGACATTTTGGTTCAATGCATTTGCCAAATTTGGTCATTGAATGCTGCTTTACAAACATTAAAACTTATTTTTTTTTCTCTTATCTCCACAGACAAAAAAATAGCACAGATATTCTATTCCAACTAATATTTGTATGCCTGGGTTTTATGGGGTTAAAGCAACTTGTGTTAAAGCAAAATTGTAGGAAAATAATACACATTTCTGACCATGTGACCCAGTAGTATCAAAAATCTTGAGTCCAACCAGGTTCAGTGAGTTCATTATTTGTATTATTATATGTTTTACTTCTTTATTTGAGGCTTGAGTGCCCCTAATGTTTTTGCCTCCCACTGATCCACCCATTTTCATAGGATTAAAGTCTAGGGCTACACAGAAATACATAAAATTGAACTTCTGTATCTTGTTTACAGATAGAGAGCAGAGAGAGGGGAGAGGGAGAGGAGAGAGAGAGCAGAGAGAGGGGAGGGAGAGAGAGACCAGCGAGAGACCAGAGAAAGAGACCAGAGAGAGACCAGAGAGAGAGACCAGAGAGAGACCAGAGAGAGAGACCAGAGAAGAGACCAGAGAGAGACCAGAGAGAGACCAGAGAGAGAGACCAGAGAGAGACCAGAGAGAGACCAGAGAGAGACCAGAGAGAGACCAGAGAGAGAGACCAGAGAGAGAGACCAGAGAGAGAGACCAGAGAGAGAGACCAGAGAGAGAGACCAGAGAGAGAGACCAGAGAGAGAGACCAGAGAGAGAGACCAGAGAGAGAGACCAGAGAGAGACCAGAGAGAGACCAGAGAGAGACCAGAGACGAGAGAGACCAGAGAGAGACCAGAGAGAGACCAGAGAGAGACCAGAGAGAGACCAGAGAGAGACCAGAGAGAGACCAGAGAGAGACCAGAGAGAGATTAGAGAGAGCAAAGAGAGACCAGAGTGAGACTAGAGTGAGACTTGAGAGTCTCGTTTCAGAGCCGAGTTCAGAGATCAGCCTGAAGTATCGTGATACTTTCAAACCATCATATTTTTCCCACCAATAATAGTTTATAAATTCATTTCTATTTCCTGTTGACTTTAATGTAACCGCACATTATAAACCACATAAACCCGTTTTGATGTTTTTTTCTAAATACTCATAGATGCCGCCGTGGACACGTACTTGCAGGAGGCGCAGACAAAGCAGCGTGGGTGGTAGGTCTTCCCCAGCGCAGACACCACCTCCCCCTCGATGAAGTCCTGGCAGCTGAAGCAGCGGGTGCCGTACATGCGCTGGTAATCCAGGGTGCAGATGTAGTCGCCCTGCCTCACAAAGAAGCCTCCCTGGGCCAGCTCGCAGCCACACACTGGGGACACACAGGGACACACACATTACGGTTCAATTCATGTTTTATCATATCTGTGCAGGTAACGCAGATTTACACAGACTGCAAAAAGTGATGAAAAATGAGTCAAAAATGGCTCAAATTTGGCAAAAATGGATCTTACTTTGAGCATTCTATTCTATTCTATTTTTCTTCTAGATCCAAACTCCTCTTGAGGGAAATAAATATATACAGAGTCTGATTGTCACCTATGTGAACCATTGTAGATCTATAAAAAGATGATTCTGATTTGTACTTTGAGTTACTGTATCCTCAGAGAAGCAAAAACAAAACTTTACAATATCTGATTTCAAGCAATCAAAATGTCTGTATCAACCCCTGAAGAGAAGAGAAAACCTGGAAAACACTATAACAGTCAGAGTTGAAGTGATTGGCAAGAAGGTCACAGCAAAAAGGTCCTGGGTTCGAATCTGTGTGAAGTTTGCATGTTCTCCCCGTGTCTGGGTGTGTAAAGTAGCCTTAAAGATCTGATCAATATTATATTTATTATTTTATGAAATATTAAATATAAATATATATTTAGTTTGAGTGTCTTATGTAACCACCGTCACATCAGTGTCGTTAGCATGTAGCTACGCCAACATACACTTCTGTAACAATGGCTGGCACCCGCTCCCGATCGCAGCCTCCCCCCGTCCGCCTATCAACAGATTACAGCGTAACTATGGGAACGGGGTGACATCATCCCACGCCGCGCCCTGGGGGGAAACTTCTCATTGCAACTTTTTCCAAAAACAACGCCGTGCTTTTTCTTCCTGCATTTCTTTCTGTTCGGAAAAAAGTGACAGGAGATGGATGAGACGAAACGTAATGTTGTGGCCCTGAAGCAGAAGGAGAGGCCGAGGAGGTGAAGGAGGAAGTGAAGGAGGAAGTAATGGAGGAGGTGAATGAAGATGTGAAGGAGGAGGTGAAGGAAAGTGACTACATGCATAATTAATTAATTAATTAACTAACTAATAAAAATCAATAATACATGAATACATAAATTAATAAATGGAATCACAATTGAATAGAGATGTCTAACCTATCAGTCATTAACAATTACTTATTATAACATTTTACATGATTCAAACTCAAAAAGGAGCGGGAGGAATGTTTGACAGAAACATTTGAAAATGAAACTTGGACATATTTTGACAGGTCTGAGGTCCGTGAATGGTTGAGTTTGGATGATTCTGTCTGAGATCTTGCTAAAATCCCTATGGGGTTTGGTCTTCAAAACATCTCTGTTTCCATGGCGACCAATGACCAGCGTCCACATTCACTGCAGCTGATGTCATGATAGCAGTAATTAAGCTTTTTGTCTCGGGAATAGTCTGCTCTGCATATCGTGCTGGACTGCCCTGACATCACAGACTTAGACTTTAGAGGAGAGAGTTTGAGGGTTGTGTAAAAGTCCAGATCATGTCTATAGTCTCTGGTTTACATTTTCATTTACACACCCTGGACACAGGCCCCAAACACCCTACACCGCTCTCTCCTGACTCGCTCTGTGCTCTCTTCTTCCTCCACGTACTTTTATACTTTTAATCCTTCATTTTTAAACTGCTTTTGAAATTGAATCACATTTAAACACATTTTTATAGTTTTTTTATTCATTTATTTTTAAATTTTAAAGACCATGCTAATTTTCAACATTGTCCATAGGAGGCTTTTAGGACAATTCTTCTTCGAAATCGAAACTGCTAAATCAAATAGATAATTCTCAAAACAGGATTTTGAAATGTACCAAAAAGTCATAATAATTTGTCTCAGATGTGTATGAAGAGTTTGGTTACCATAAAGATGGTAACGGACTGTTGTGGCTTCTCTTCTTCACAGCCGCAGCAAACCTCCAAATTGAGTTAGCATGTGACGCTAAATGTTGTTAGCCTTCACCTAACTGGCTTAAAGGACACAGGACACTGGTTCTCACAGACAGACAGAGAGAGAGAGAGAGACCTGAGAGACCACACAGAAAGAGAGACCAGAGAGAGACCAGAGAGAAAGGTAGAGAAGAGAGAGGTAGAAGAGAGTGCGATCAAAGAGAGAGACCAGAGAGTGAGTCTAAAGAGAGAGACCAGAGAGATGGAGAGAGAGATGGAGACTATAGAGACCAGAGAGAGACCAGACAGAGGGAGAGACAGAGAAAGGATGAGAGAACAGAGAGACCAGAGAGAGAGACCAGAAAGAGAGAGAGCGACCATAGAAATCACACAAAGAGAGAAATATTTTCTTTTAAACACAAGTCAGCAGTTGCATGAGGTTTTCTTGCTTTTTGTGCCATTTTCCAGCCAAGACAAATCAATATTTCAAATCTCATCCCCAGAGATCCTATTTACTGTAAAAACGTAGTGTTATATAAATTATAGATGTCGCGGTGCCCTTGACTCTCCTCGATGTTTTCCAATAGTCTTGTCAGATTGTAGCTGGTGGGAGTCAGGCATAAATGTGCTTCGTGTTTGCCAATTTGCAACCTTGACGTCCATGTTTTACAATGACTCAGGAAGACGAGCGAGCAGAGGCCTGTGATTGGTCAGCGGGCGGCCCATGACCTTCAGGGAGCCGGGCCGGTCCATGACGGGGTAAATTACAAGCAGACCTTAACCAGGAAGTCTGTGTATTGTCTTTAAACATGGGCCAAAATCCAAACACAGAGACTATTGTTTGGGAAGAGAACTTTTGAAGGGAATTACGGGAATCAACGTAGGTTTAAGGTTGTTGGAAAACGGCGTCCATGGTAGCGGAAGAGGAGTTTTTTTGGAGTTTGAGTTGGTGCTACGTTGAGTTTGGAAGCTGGATGGAACTTAGCAGGCGCAGTAGAAGGAGGTTGTTTGTCTTTTTTTCTTTTACGGAACAATAATTTTATATGTCATGTCTTGTCATTTCCTTCCAATTGTTTAATCCATTTCTTCCAATGCTTCTTCATAGCCTTGTTCTTTCAGCAGGAAAGGGAATCGAACCCACGACCTGTAGGTTCAAAGACCAATGCTCTACCAACTGAGCCACTGTCGTCCTAAAACAGTGCAGCTGTTGACGTGAGGGTCCAATCAATTTTGGATTATACGATGCAATTTTTGGGAATGATAATTGATTGCAGTCCAAAAATCATTGTTAAAAGTTGGCTGGATGACATTGTGGATTTCTGTTTAGGATCTCAAAGGTTGTTTTGGGTTAGCATGTTGTGCTGACTTTTTTATTGTGATCTATTAAAGATTCGGCAGAGTCAGAGATATGAGATGAGGTATAACATGGGTTAGGGTTAGGGTTAGCCTGGCCTTAGCCATCCGTACACTCCGGTCAATCATCATTTCCTGCATGTAACGTCTGGGTTTGGTCCCTGTGTTTGCGATTACAATCGGTAGAATTCCATCCGACCAATTAGCGAGCTCGGGAGGCGGGCGTTTCAGTTAGCTGTGGATGACGTCAAGAGTTTGCGTCGAACGGGCAATGAATGGGATAGTAAAGTAATCCGGTGTGGTTCTATCAAGAAATTGAAGCCGGAGCAAGAGGAATGTTTAGCAAATGTAAATGCTGGCACTACTTGTGGCACTACTCCCCCACAGGATTCTTTAGCGGCAAAAGAGATGGCTAATTCTAGGCTAAATGCTAAATGCTAACAACTCACTCCGGCGTGTTACATACGTCACAGTAAACTCAGATCCAATTCTTTCAATCTGCAAAAGGAGTTAACCCCTCCCACCTGTTAACGGAGTCAATGGAGAAAATCCAGACCTTAGTACGAAATGTCATTTGTACTATGGTGTGGTACGACCAGTGGGGGAGGGTCCCCGCTCAAAAGTGGCCAAAATGACGTGCGCTGACATGCTTGCAATACCACCCCGGGCCGATGGGGGTGGACCCAGAAGAAGAATTAGCCAATGCTAACATATAGCATTAGCAGACCCCTCAAAAACGTCTTTACAGGATGGACCAAAAGTTGGCTCTTGGCCCAAAGCACCGTTCCACATGTGTGTCAATGCTGAGGGGGGTGGATTTTTTTGGTCCACTCTAGTTTACTTGCAGTGAATTTCTGAAGTCTCTCTTTCAAATTAATGGAGCTGCGCCGGCTGACGCATGCGCAGATGCGTTTTTTCACAATTTTCTTGTGGGCGGGACCACTCGCGGCCATTTTGGATTGCTCCAGTAGAGCACATTTTTTGGCCCATTAGTTAGAACGGCGGAGATAGGCGTGACTCTGTCCGTTAATATATGCAGTCTATGGGTACGACCAGGCTACGGTTAGGGTTGGGAAAAATGGGAAAAACCATTGATTAAAAATTAAAGTCAAGTATCCGTGAAATTTGATGAGAGATTTCTAAATTGGCAGTAAAAAAAAAAAACACTTCCCAGAAAATGACAGGGAATCTTCAACGTAGTTTTAATGAAATTTCAGATAAATAATGTGCATCAGCTTTATTGCGTTATAACATGAAAAATATGATAGGATGAAAAATACACCAATGTCTCCTTTTTCAAACTGACTCAGAATACACTGTCTTCTCTCATAAAATAGATACACTGCAAAAAGTGATGAAAAATGTGGCAAACATTTCTCAAATTTAGCAAAATGTGTCTTAATTTAAGCACATTCTGAATCTCTTGGAATGCAGAAAATAAAGCAACAGTTCTTGACATAAGACTAAATGGTTTAGAATCTTGTTTTAAGACAGAATGTGCTCAGATTTAGAGAAAAAACACTTGATTGCAGCATTCATTACCTCATAATTTATCATTTTTTGCAGACATCCCACAATATGCAGAATACAAATAATGAGTGAAGACTAAATCGCAGCTAAGACACATTTCTTTGCTCTGGCTTTTCAACTCAAGCAAAAATGAACTTTTTATGATCGTGGACCTGTATTTTACTTTTCTGCTGTATTCTATTTGTGTGTTGTGTTGTATTTTGTAGCGTCTGGAAAGCACTTTGAGACAGTACGTTTTTTAAAATGTGCTATATAAATAAACTTGACCTTGAG